GGGATTGGGGATTGGGGTGGGCCCTGGCTGCACTCCCAGGGGTGTCACCCTCATTCCTGCCGGGGAGATCCAGTCAGGGGGTTTGGGATTTGGGATCAAACTTGGCCCTGGCTGCACTCCCAGGGGTGTCACCCTCATTCCTGCCGGGCTCAGCCTTGGGAGCTGGAATTGGATCCATGGACACAGGGGAGCCTTGGGAGCAACTGGAATTGACTCCCTGGAAACAGGAGAGCCTTGGGAGCAGCTGGAATTGGCTCCCTGGGCAACAGGAGAGGCTCGGGAGCAGCAGGAATTGTCTCCCTGGACACCTTGGGAGCAACTGGAATTGACTCCCTGGAAACAGGAGAGCCTTGGGAGCAGCTGGAATTGTCTCCCTGGACAACAGGAGAACCTTGGGAGCAGCCCCCCCCCCTTCCAAAACCTGGGATAGGGGGGTCCTGGGCTGGGCTGGGGGGTGGGATTTGGGTGCCAGGGGATGCTCCTGGTCCCCAAATCCAAGGAATTGTGGCGTTCCCGTGTTGCAGGAGGCGGCTGTCGGAGCAGCTGGCGCACACCCCCACCTCCTTCCGCAGGGATCCCGAGGATCCGTCGGCCGTCGCCCTCAAGGAGCCCTGGCAGGAGAAAGTCAGGTGAGGAGGGGACTTTGGACATCCCAGAAATCCCAGGGAGTCACCCAGGGAATTATCCCTGGCCTTGGCTGTCGGCCCCGCCCGTTCCCGGGGCGGGATCAGAGCAGGGAGGGGGAAATTCCTGCCCCTGGGTCGGGAATTTAAATCCCATTTCCAGGGATTTGTGGGGCAGCTCCGATGTCACCGGGCCTTGGCCTCTTCCCAAAAGAAGTTTGGCACTTCCAGAAGTGTCCCAGAACCCCCCCCACATTCCATGAAGGAAGCGGGAAAGCCCTGGAGCTTTCCCCTCCCTATTCCCAACCCCTCTCTGTTCCCACAGGATCCCATTCCCAACCCCTCTCTATTCCCACAGGATTCCCCCCCCCCCCTTCCCACAGGATCCCATTCCCAACCCCTCTCCATTCCCACAGGATCCCATTCCCACAGGATCCCATTCCCAACCCCTCTCTATTCCCATAGGATCCCATTCCCACAGGATCCCATTCCCACCCCTCTCCATTCCCACAGGATCCCATTCCCAACCCCTCCCCATCCCCACAACCCCCGCCTGTGCCGGAGGTGCTCCGGGATTCAGGAATGAGATGAATTCCCTGCCCTGAGGAGGGCTGGGCGTGCCCTGAGATCCCAGATCAGGGATCCCCCCTCGTTCCCAACCTTCCCTTTTCCCTCTCCCCCATTCCAGGAGGATCCGGGAAGGGTCTCCCTACGGACACCTCCCCTCCTGGAGGCTCCTCTCCGTCATCGTCAAGTGCGGCGACGACCTTCGCCAGGAGCTGCTGGCATTCCAGGTGCTCAAACAGCTCCAGGTGAGCCCGGGAAACAGGGATGGGATCGATCCCAGGGCTGGGAGCCATGGCAGAGACCAGGAGGTGTCGCTTCCAGGACTGGGAATGACAGGAGAGCTCTGGAAGGGGGGGTCAATTCTGGGGTTGGAAGTGATGGGGAGAGACCTGGAGGGGTCACTTCCAGGACTGGGAATGACAGGAGGGTTTTGGGAATGATAGGAGAGGTCTGGAGGGGGTCAATTCCAGGGTTGGAAGTGATGGGGAGAGGCCTGGAGGTGTCACTTCCAGGACTGGGAGCACTGGGAGAGACAGGGAGGTGTCAGTTCCAGGGTTGGGAGTGATGGGGAGGTGTCACTTCCAGGACTGGGAATGACAGGAAAGGTCTGGGAATGACAGGAGAGTTTTGGGAATGATAGGAGAGGTCTGGGAATGACAGGAGAGGTCTGGG